CACAATACTGACAAGTGATTAATAAAAGTCAAAAGACCAAAGAGGTCACCTTAATACCAAAAAAAAAAAAAAAAAAATTTGTTTTATATATAGAAAAAATATATATAATATTGAACCTAAATATGTTTATAAATTTTGAACTGAACTTGAACTAAACCAAATTTTAAGTTCAGGTTCAGTTCAGATTTATAAATTTTAAGTTTAGTTCAAATTAAGATTCAATAATCTGCAAAATTTGAAGTTCAGTTCAGGTTTAATGAACCTGGTTCATGAATCTAAACTGAACTAAACTGAATCTAAGAACACTCATATAAGTATTATATAAATTATTTTATAAGTAAAATTGAAAGAAAATATAGAAGTTTTGATAAAAGTGTAAAGGTTAACTGATATAATCATAGTTGAAGGCAAAAATGAACAGAATATTACAGAAACTACTAAAAAAACTGATATTGCTAAAGTTGATAATGTAATTTTAGATAGTAATATAGATCAGTTCTTTAATTTAGTAATAGTCAATTTCACATCAGCATAATTGTAAATTTTTAATATAACATACTGTATAATTTTTGAGTTATTTTTTATTAAATAAAAAGTTTAATAACAATTTAATCATATTATAAAATTTTACAGACTAATTAAATAATATTTATTTATTTATATGAAAGCAATAAATCAAAATTTAACATAGTGAAATTAATTATTTTTAAAAATTGTTCACGAAAAACAGCAGAAACTGTTAATGTTACACATATATTAAAACTTATGAGAAATTATATCTATCACAATTGAATTCAACATAAATAATTTAATTTGTAATTAAACACAGGTAAGAGAGATTCACTTTGGATCAGGCACTGTCTCTGCTGTATTCAAGAAATGGTAAAAAACTAAAGCATGTTTAATTGTAACTTAAGGTGGTATCAATAAAATGTGATTATTAATAATAAATAGTTATTAGGCGGCTTATCATGATTTTATGCCCAATAATAAAATTATTTTGCAGATAAATCATATTAAGTTGTCAGATAATTATTAATTATTACACCATAAAGTTAAATTGATTACAATACTAAGTAAACTTTTACAAATAACATTACGATTAAACGTGCCCTGATTTTTATTATATTGTTCAAGCATTTTTTCGAAAATCTTTAATAATTAACGCTACATCTACTTGATTTTCCTTAATAATTGTTGATTTATTATACATATATTACTATAGATATATATACTTCATATATGTAACGGTAATATAATTCTCACATATTCAAACGATTCAAATGTTATATTGTAATTCAGAGTATTGCAATCTGAATTCTTGAAAGAATTTAAATAAAGTTAGCAATATTGATAAAATATTATGTACAATTTGAATAAATTATTAAAATGTACATTTTCACAAACGGGCTATCTATATAATAAATAAATCAATATAAAAATGAACGAAACACGCAAAATTTCTTTAACATGAGAAACGAAGTGATATTTTAAATCTGCAATTAGAGTTGTTAATGGGTTGGGTTGGGTTGGGTTAAGCAACTCTGCAACCCACTCCAGCTTGGGTTGGGCTCACTCCAGAGCCACTCCAGGTTTTAACTCACTCCAACTTGGGTTGGGCTCACTCCGGAGTGGCTCCGAGTGGCTCCGGAGTATGCCACTCCATTAACAACCCTATCTGCAATGCAATTAAATAACTGTTGTGATCACGTGAAACAATACAATGATGTCATTTGTTTACTAGTACTGATGTTTACAATTCTAAAAAGGAGGATAGTTATGTGTTATGTTGTGAAGTATGTCTTCTTTTTGTTAAATCATATCGGCTGATATGTTTTACAATTTTATTCTTTATTTTTAGATAACCGTACTATATGGACCCGTTTTTATTTGGTAAGCAAGTATCGCTTTTACAGTTTAAAACCTGTTTTATTATCTTATTACAATCTTTACTAATTTCTGAACTTATTCTTGGTCTTTACAAGGGCTCCCTATAATTAGACGGATAGAACAAATAGATAAGTATAAACATTGTAATTATCATCTAAAATGGCCATGAGCCTGCAGGCCTGTCAAAGAGCGTGAAGGTTTCCCGACATTTCCCCGATAACAACTCCCCGAAAAATATTTCCTGCAATACTTTGCCGACATAAATTTTTTCACCGGTATAACTTTACCGACAATAATTTCTCAAAAACGTTTTTTCGACAACAACTTTTCGACATAAACCACTTCCCGACAATCTATTTCCGACAACCATAATCCCGACGTAAACTACTTCCTCGACATTGCCATTTACCGACATTATCACTACCCAACATTATTACTTCTACGACATATAACTTTTTCAGACATTACTAGCTTTCCGACATTTCCACTTTTACGACATTTCCACTTGGCCGATATTTCCACTTTTCCGAAATTACCATTTTCAACTGATTGGTTAAATAATTATTAATAGTAAAGTATTCTTTGATATTACATTGATCTAATTTGGCGGAA